TGCTTCGCCCAGTGTGTTGTTTCTTTGCAGTTGTTCACGGCATCAGATGTACCAATTCAATAAGGCATGCCGCAGGTGAGTTTTAATGATGTCAATGTGAGTCTACGTCGGTGCAGGAGCCGAGCGAACCTTTTCGATGTGGCCGATCTTTCATCACTCAGACATTGTAGCATACTAGTCACAAGTCGGTGTCACAGGAGGCAAAAGAAGGTGCCACGCATTTCGGATCATTTGGGTGTGGCTACATGTTGAAATCTGTTGAAGTCGACTGTTGGAAGAGATCATTTGCAGCATGAGAATGCTTTGGTCTCAAGCCTTGTCAAGGCAAAAGAGCTGACAGCATCCTGTTCAGATTTGGAGGCGGCATGGGCAGTGGTCTGAGACTTCGTATCGTATCCCCAAACTACATGTTCAAAGAAACCAGAGGGTGTGTGAAGGTGATATCGGGGGTGGCAACCAGGCATTGCAAAGCCTAGGTGTTTGATGTTTTGTGTTTTATTTTTGGTGCGCCCAGAATGGTGCTATATAGCAGTGTTCCCTTTCCTGCAGGCTCCTGTGGGCACATATCTTTTTCAGTTTATTCTCTTATGGTTCCCGGTCCATGCGTTTGATCGAGCAAGTTACCCGGGCCCTTGTTGAATCAGAATGCTCCATGCCATATGCATGGTTTGTTGCTGTTCAGCAACCCTTGAGCTTCCCCGGGGAACAGATTGTCGTTGCTGGTTGCCAGAGCATTGGTCGAAATTTTATTTGAGGTCAACCACTTATTGTTTTGCCCAGTGGGACAACGGCAGGACCTAGCTAGAAACGGTGGGCGAACGCGGTGGATCTTTCATCACATGCTACTGGCATGAGCTCATGCGTTTGCAGTTTCACTAGCGCTAAGCTACACTATATATCACTACACAATGGCAGATTGATTGATTGAAGGGCGCATTTGCCGTAGAATGCCGTAGATATTCTGACAGTATTTTCCTGAAGCTCCTGTGTTTGTAGCGTCACCTGTCGATTCAATGAATGGGCAACGTGTGTCTCCAGGCAGAAAATAGACAGCTCAAGACAGAGCTGGAGGAATCGCAGCAAAAACTGAAGGATTTGCAGCTGAAGGCCCTGGTCGTGTTGCTTCAGTACTAACCTGGTTGATGCAGCTGAGAAAACCTGTATTGGAAGATGCTGAAATCGTTATGGTTATACAATCCCAGGTGTAGAAGTAGTTGGTATATGCTTCTCCCAGTTCAGCGGCGTGGAACATCCTGGATTCAGATCTTTGAGTTAAGTGTGTTGATCACGTGTCTTTGCGCGTCGGTTTTGATTGCCTTTGCCCAGGTCGAAGAGCTGACAGCTTCATACTCCGCTTTAGAGGCCGCTTTGTGGCACCCCCACAAGAAAGAGCAGTCGGAAAACCAGGCCCTACGCGCTCCCACCACTTTTCCTTCCTGATAGGCTCAAAATTCACCAAAATGCTTCTTGCACACCCAGAGTGTTGTTTCTTTGCAGTTTGCTGCCTTTCCTGACCGTGCGACATGTGAGTAGTTTGACAACGTTAATAAATGTGCAAAGAACTTGTTTGTGGGGGTGCTTTCAGCGGAAGCAAGTTAGTGAATGCCACTGCTACCGTTCGCTTTCTCCGGCATATGGCTGGGAGGTGGAAGAGGCAGCAGCCACACGCATCCAAGCGACTTTTCGCCAGAGCCCAACGTGTCCAGCTGGACTGAATGCAGAAATAGCTCCAACATTGGCGTGACCTGTTGTTCTTGTCTCCTAGGCAGATTTGCAGCGCGGCGACGTTCAGCAGCAAGGGCACTCAGCACTTCATTTGTCTCTCCAGATGCGTTCTCTACACCCCGGAGCCAGGTCTTGTCAGGAAGGAATGCTGCCAAAAGAAATAGCAATCGGAAAACGGAGCCTACGCCAAGAGATTATGTTATTGTAAATGCATCACTTTAGATGTTCTTCCCTGCGCGCTCCCAGCCCGTTTCCTTCCCCGTAGGCCCAAAATGCTTCGCCCAGTGTGTTGTTTCTTTGCAGTTGTTCACGGCATCAATTTTCAGATGATGTCAATCTGAGTCTACGTCAGTGCAGGAGCCGAGCGAACCTTTTCGATGTGGCCGATCTTTCATCACGCAGACATTGTAGCATACTAGTCACAAGTCGGTGTCACAGGAGGCAAAAGAAGGTGCCACGCATTTCGGATCATTTCGGTGTGGCTACATGTTGAAATCCTCGTCCCCGACAAGCCTGAGGCCAGTAGCTCGAGGGTGGCATCCAGGCACTTCGAGCTTGGAGAGGTGCACATCAACATGTACACAGCGAAAGCTGGGATACAACCACAGGTGGAGGAGGTGAAGGATGTGGGCTCTTTGAATATCAATCCAACAGTGACGCGCAGAAGCCCCGTGTTCAAGCTCACACCGCCAGCTACTAGGCTGCTTCTTCAAACGAAGAAGCAAGTCAACATGGCGTATGGACGGAAGGACGATGGCGATGAGTGGCATCAAATCCAACCAGCACACTGCCATACCACATACATAGAATTCTCAGGTTTGGAAGACTTCTCCCTGTTCTTTCTCGCCTACATCAAGAAGCCATTGGCTATTTGCGACGGTCCGAGTCATGAGCCCGATGAAACTGAGCAGAGAAAGCATTTGATGCTATCGGGGAGGTTCAACGATCTCGAAAATGTGAGGTTCATGAAAGAGATCAAGGAGGGGCTTGCAGGGCTTGGCGTTCCAGTGTTTATGGTAGATGCAGGGTCTGGAAACAGGTTCGGAAATCCGACCATTGAAGGATTGTACGGTGCCAAAATGTTGGCCGCGATTTGTACTGAGAGTTATGGACAATTTACTGGCTGCGGTTTTGAGACATTTGAGGAGCTTCGATACGCTCACATGAAACGAGTGAAAATCATTCCAGTGGTGCGATGCAAGACCTTTCCGCCACGGATTCATGGAGACAAGATGGGCACAATGCAAAATGATTTCATTTTTGGATTGGACCGAGTGCGTATTAACGCAACTGAGATGACGGCATTCGAAATAGCTGTTGAACTTCAAAGAGCATGGAGGCGAGATAATGATTGACCTTCACAGTGATCGGGCACGCAGATTAATGTGCACCTTTGGCACGTTTCACAGCAATTAGGCTTCGTTTTCCTCTTTTAGGTTGCACCACGCATGCAGAAAGGCATAGGTGTGTTTTCTCATGAGCACCCCCACATGCCAACTTCTTTGTACCGTGCAGGTTCAATCTCCCAACTCATGCAAACAGCACATCCAACAAATGCGAACAGCGCGGGACAGACACCTAGGGTAGGTAAATTCAGTATAGTAGACACAAGTCCCGCCCTGACAATCAGATCCCGTTTTCTACTTGCATCAGCCAGCACATGGGCCTTGCCAGACTCGCACACTCCACTCATGCACAAATCGAACCCTTGCCAAGAATGCATGAGGTGCAAGACGGCTCTTGTATAGAAACGGCAGAGCATACCAATTTTCGTGAGTTGCAAAAGCGGACGTGCCATTGTTCCTTCAGAGATTTTTTTTGCTTTGCTTAGGATTGCTTCACCCGTTCTTTCTTGAACATTTGCCACGTGCCCATCTCAGGTAATCTTTCTCCACGGTACGTTCCACCAGAGCCTGGAGCACTATCATCTCCTTTGGCCGATCACTTTGGACGTAAGAATGCAAGTTGGTATATATAATTATATATATAATCATGTTTCCATTCGGCAGTCTTCAATACCTAAGCTCTAGTCTAAGCTCTCTTTTCTGGAGCAGGAGACCTTCGGAAACAGCATTCAGAGACCTCATGTGCGGCCATGGTTTATTCGGAGTTTTGAGCAGGAAGTTGTTCGCAGACAGCTTATAATTGTAAATAGGCAATCTAACCTGTTTGTCAGAAGGGTCGCTGATGGTGGATATTATGTGGATGGATTGAGATGGGAACGGGGTGTGATCTTGCTGTATTTTCATGAAATCATATGTATAATTCATATTGAATACATGATATGGGCCGCTTGTTTGTGATTGTAGATGCTCCAGCCTCATTGTTGCCGCAACGATGATGTGCCAAAAATAGATCGGTCACAAGGATTGTGTGTTTGTCGCAGGCGACAGCGACAGGTGACTTGTTTGTGATTATTACGACGATCCTCAGCACAAGCTGAATCAAAGCCCTTCACACTTACAGTAATTATAGAATGATGAGTATCACATTTGTTTGTTAGTGTGTCAAACATTTACCTGACCAAATTCGAGGAAGAACAACAGTAGCCTAAAGAGCTACAACAACAAAGATGGCACCCTGACAGATCTGACAACGCTTAGCCCTTTAATCAGATAGACATGATGTTGTGAACACTGCCACCGTGCAAGTGTCCAGAGTGCTTTGTGCACCATCTCCAGCAAAGCCAATCGATTAAATCATCACTAAACTTGTTATGAGGAAATAATAGTGTGAATCAAGAAACTTTTGATTAATGTCTTGATAATTCAAGGTGCATGGATAGAACATAAGACATAGCGAACTTTCTTGGAAATGCATGCATGTTGCAGTTCAACCCACGCTCCAAACTTTCAACCCCCCACCCCACCCGTAGCCTAAAACAACGAAGAGGACATCGACCTTGCAATTTACGTTTGGAGCAGGTTATTTCGTGGAAGATGCATGAGAAATCGACGGGTGTGAAAGGACACAAGTCTTGAGCCGGCAGGTCACCCACTGCCAGACTAAAGAATCACAACGACATCAAACCACAATCAAATGGGGTACACAACCCCTGTCAATGTGTTAGTTGCCGATTGTGGTCTGAAACACCCTTATGACGCAGACCGTTGCTCAGGTGACGCAGGTCTTCTTTAAGCCTTCAGGCTTGTAGAAGCTACATGCCCCATGGCTTGTTTTGCTCACAGATGTTCTTAGGCCTTGTCAGGCCTCACATCTTAACTACTCCATTGCACCCTACCCGGCACCGGTCCATAGCCTTCCATACCCTTCAGGAAGGACACCAAGAAGCGGAACTCCAAGTCCTCTCGCACCTCCTCCAAGCAGACGCCGCCGCCCACAGAGCCTGAGCCGCCCAAGGGCTCCAAGGACTCCATGGGCTCTGAGGCGCGGAGGTTCCGAGCTGAGCGGAGCAGCATGCAGGTTGGTCCAAGGACTGGCGCTGGTTACACGGTTCAACGATATTTTGGGGGGCCGTTTCCCAGAAGACATCAGAAGACCAAATGGGTTGGTCAAACGAAGGTTTCCAGAGTGAAATGCATTTGGAACGTCAAAATTGTTGAGCTCTCATATAGGGTTTTGGGCCGACAGAGGATTTCCCTACACACCTTGGACTACTTTGGAAGCAGAGCGTCACAAGACTCAGCAACTGCGAAACCCACTGGGGGTTGGAATGATTTGCCATAGGGGACGTAACTTGAGGAGAGGTGTGGAGCACTGGATAGTTTGGCTTAAGTTTTATAGTAGTGCCTGCATGTAGATCGACATGAGGTTTGCTGTCGTCAGCAGCTGGTGTTTGTCAGTCAGCGCATGGAGCGACTGCTGCGGTGATATTGACGGCAACCTTCTCGTCCAGTTTGCGTCCCAGGGGATGCAAACCAGACAGGCACTGAATTCAACAACTTTGCCGGAATTGCCATTGCTCAGGAAGGAGGTGGTTTCACCCTTGCTTGGGACCAGCTCACTTATCAGCCGGATAGCTCTTTGCACTACAGCCTTCAGCCTGGTCATTCTGAGTGTTTCGCTTGCCCTGCGTGGACTTCCACAGAAAACACCACGCAATCGGGCAGCGGATGGTTTTCCACCGGGAATGTTCAGTTTCTATTGGGCAGTGGTTGCTGGCGTCTACTTTAGCGCTGATGTCTATGTTCCTAGCATGCCTCAGATGGAGATAGATTTGGATGGATCGGAATCCATGGTGAGTGGTAGTGTACAGATCAACCTTTTTGCGAAAGCAGCTGGATGTTTCATCACCGGACCGCTGTCAGATCGCGTCGGCCGAAGACCCGTACTGGTGCTTTGCCTTGGGCTCATTACTGTCGCATCACTGTGCTGCATGTGTGCCACAAGCATCTGGTGGTTTCTTCTGGCGCGGATCTTACAAGGTCTTGGCGAGGCAGTGGAGCCAGTGGTCTTTGCATCGGTCAGGGACTTCCATGACGACCTGAAGGACGTTCCGAGAAAATAAACGAGACATCGTAATGAAGCTCTTAAGAGGCCAATCAAGCTCCTGTACGTATATGGTGTATGCGACAATCGCATTTGTCAAACCCTCTTGCGATAGTTCTCGGATTCATAGGTCAATTCATGTTGTTGACCTCATCCCTAGGGCGCCAAGTACCTTCTAAGAAGGTGTTTTTGGGGTGGGTTTAGAGAGTCCAGTCATACCTAGGGCATGGCTTCGACGTTTTCGCGTCCTCCGCGCGTCAGGAGCGTTACAGCGTGTTCTCGCGACTGTGGATTGGCACCTGGGCAGGACCCCTTGCTGCTCCGCTGGTGGGAGGCGTGCTCTGAAACTTTGAAGAGACCCTTTGGATCCCTTTGGCATCGGATGTGCCATACAAACCGACCGGACGGACAGGTGTGACAAGACTGGTGACCAGTCTGGTGTCGAGAAACCACCTGTAGGGATCCAAAAAGCAGCCTGGCACAGGAGGGCCCTGGTAGAAGATATGATTTTTCATGTTTTTGTTCGTTCTTTTCCAAGTTTGGGACCCCTAGCCTTTTTACATCGTTTTACGCATTTGATGCCTTTTTAGCTGGCCCTTTGCACAGGTGTGATCGCCAATAGCACAAGCTGGAGAGTTGACTTTCTCGTCCTCTCGTTGCTTTGGGCTTCCCTTCTAATTCTCGCCTGTGCGGCAGTTCCAGAAAGTGCGCCAAAGGAAGATCGGAACAGTTTTTGGCACGACCTGGGAACTGTCCTTGAGAATTGGCGTCAGGATTGCTTGCTTATTGCGGAAGGCTTTTTCTACTCCATCTATTTTTGTTTTCTGGCAAATGTTAGCTATGTCATGGAGGTCTACTACGGCCAGAGCACCCTTACTACTTGTGCAGTCATTGCAGCAACCATTTTTATATGTACTGCTTGGAGCCTTGTGATGAATTACTTCTATTCGAAAGCAACGTTCAGTGTCATCCATGTTGCGCAATGTGGGGTGCTGGCGATGATCGTTCCCATCCTGGTCGACGTCGTGGCAGGTATCAGCTTTTCCAACAGCATGTGGGGCTACGTGCTGCAATCGGCCTTCCATATGGGCCTCATGACTGGACCAGTGACGTCCCTACCCACCCTTTTTATGGATCCTTTAGAGAATGTGGCAGGGCTTGCCGCTTGCATGGAGGTGGTTTTTAGTGGCTTCCTGTGCTCCTTAGCCTCCTTTGGAAGCACCAAGTGTTTGATTGAATTCGGTGAGGCCGGTGCCCTGCTCTTTCATGCCTTCATTGCCATGATTGCCGTGCTGATCTTTTGGCTGGGTCAAGGAATTTGGAGACACAGCGACGCGAAAGCATACGTCATGCTGGCATCCAGTCCTTAGCAGTCGGAAGCAAGCAGACCATGAAGCAAAAAAGCCACCGGTGCGGTGGCGCCTCCTTTCAGCATCGTGGTGGGTTTCAGCATCCTGGTGGGTTAATCCGTTTCCATGTTGAACCCCAATTGGAAACAACCATGTTCTAACTAAGATGCTATACAGAAGTTCAATCCACTGATTTGGTGAGTCGCTGTTCCATGATAACAAAGCACACTTGGCCACCACGGGGCCATGTGGGAATGTTCAGATATGTTCAGCGTGGGACTTACAAAGCAAGGCACCTGAAGATAGCCAAGGTGCAGAAAGAACCTCCTTGCACCTGGTGCCAACAAGGAGTCGAAACCTTGCCCCCAAACCTCTTGGGGGCCCACCAGAAGCCCTCATGCAGAACCGGGGTTCCAGACCTCCACAGGGGTGACCGGGTGACCTGTTGGCCAGGCCACGCTGGCGCCGGTGCCTCACTGGGTGGACAGTGAAGAGTCTGCCTGGCAGCCCCTGCCACAGAAGCTGCATGCCTCCATCGCCAGCACGGATACGAAGAAGATCACCTGTGCCGAATGCTGCAGTGTGAGGGTTTTCAAGAGGCTTTGGTTCTGTGTGTGTGTGTGTTCTTTTTGTTGCTCCCATGGTGGATGCTGGGAGCTGGGACAATCCAGGACACTTGTGTTTCACAATGTTTCACATATTTGCTGTGCTTTTGGTCCTCAGGCTAGGGTCGCGAGTGATATGAGTTTTACATGTTCCCCTCCGTATCCCTAAGATTGCCGTCTCCGGATGATCTTCCAATGGATAAAGGCAATTCACAATTCCAAGCACATTTTTCTGGAACATTCTTCAACATTCTTCAACCAGATCGGCTCCAGAGATGTAAAGACAGATGCCCCCTCGAATCCAAGGTGCTCATGTGTACCTGCAGACCCTTGAAGCTGGTCAAGTGCTTGAAGTCCCCGGCTGTGGGCTGCTCCGCCCGAACATGCGAACATCATCGGTGACCTTTCGCAGATGACGTGGCATAGTTCTGCATAGATCTGTATGTGTTACCGGATAGCGTTCGCCCATGAAGACAGCTAGCCGGAGGACGAATCGTTTCTAGATGGGTTCCTTTCTTCGGTCCGGGACGGGATGGCGTTTTTTTTGTAGGGCTCAGGCAGGCAGGATGCCGGGTTTGGATGGATTCGGATGAAGCGATGGCCCGATGAAGGAGCAAGGCACATGAATTGGGCGCCTGCAGTCCCTGCAGTCTCGTTCCAGCACGGCCCCCAACTCCAAGAAAAAACAACCCCCACTGTACCACTGTACCACCTAACCTACCAACTATAAGCATTACCACCAAAACATGTACACTCCTTCCAATATCTAACCATATATATCTACCCATATATCCTCCCCTCTATCTCACCGGACTACCCACGCCCTCACTTGAAGGCCGGACTTCTTTGCGCTGTTCCTCTTCAAGCAGCTCTCACCCCGACGACCGGATCTACTGCGTCAGCTGCTCATGCGCGAGCCGGCGCTGCTGTGCTCGGGCGATCCCTTCGAAGCCTTCTTCACCCGAATGCGCCGCGAGCGCCTGGGAGCGGAGGAAGCAGGTCCGCAGGGTCCGCAGGTCGGGCAGGTCGGATCCAGAGAACCGGTCGAAGATCTGCAGGATAGGTACAGAAAGGGGTGGTGCCACTTACCAATCAAGACTAGCGTGTCCAGACGTGGTCCATGATGTCTACATCTACATTTTTGGGTGTGAACACTTGTCAGAACTCTATTAAAGCATATAATAACTGCATAACCTCAAAAACAAGTGCTGGCAAGCTAGCTTGGTTCACACCGATCCACAAAGCATCTTGTCTTGCGTCACTCCAAGTCTCAACGCCATTCGTCTGCTCCCACGGCAGATTCGCTACCACCGCCTGCCCACCGAGGCTCGGAGACTTGGTGGCCAGAGAGGTCGTCTTGAAGGAACTGCAGACGGTGGTGCCTCCGGGGCACTTTCCCAGTGGCCTGGAGAGGTGTGTGATTTTTGTGGTGAAGTTGGAGGACTTTATTCAATATACTATTTGTAAATCTTCATGGGCCCAATTAGGCAGACGGTTTTTTGTGGGGGGGAGTCTGGCTGAAGTCCTTGAATCTGGGGAATCTCGAGAAAACACGTCCTTTTTCTGCGTCAAAAACACTTCGACTTCTCTCAGGGCCGATCTTTTCCAGAATTTGTTGGCATACTCCAACATGAACAGATTCTACCAAACAGGGCACCTCCAGACAGGTTTATGTTCATTTCACCAGGTGAACTGGTGTGCACAGGATGATTCAGAGTGCACAGATGGCTATGCTTCGACGTGCCAAGACTGAGGTAGCAAGCACCTGATTTGGCCCAAGCTGTGTCAGCAAGGTCACGCACAGCTGATTTCCGACTCGCAGGGAAGGGAGGGGTTCGCACAAAAGGATAAGAGGTGACGGTTTCGGAGATATTTATGTTTAACCCTTACTTGGGGATGATATTGAACCCTTTGACTCATATGTTTCAAGTGGGCTGAAAGGACCAGAAGAGGTTATTCTTTTTTTTGGCATTGGAGATAAGATGATCAAGTCTTCTTCACAGAAGGACTTTGTGCCATGGTTGAAAGTGAGCGAAAGATGCCTCACGCCGCACGCCATGTAATCTCCCACATGCGCTGAATTTGTTCACACCATGGAACACGTGACCTGTGCTGCTTGGATGGTGCAGCAGTTCTTCCTCAATTTGGGACTTGCTTGGCAATCCAAACCGTGTTTGTGAAGTCCTTCCACTTAGTGAGGCACCAAGGGCGCGGAACCGCCAACTCATTTCAGATCAGCGGCGCGATGAACAAATCTGGTGGCACCATGCCAGCATGCGTATAGATCAGATCTCCAGAGAACGGCAGCCACCATATCACTCATTCTGTTTTCGAATCCGCTTTTCGCCCCCTTACTGGTATCAACTCCGGCTCACTAGCTGCCATTTCCGTGGATGGCATGGCGGTCTTCGATGGCCAAACAAAATTCCAACTCACTCAGCTGCCAGGCACCGAGGCACAGATCTTCAGCTGGATCTATGACCGGAAGGTCGAAGTCTTAGCCGCGGAGACCAACGCCCAGGCAGCTCCCAGCCCCCTGGCAGCGCTGAAGGGCGAAATCGAGAGAACTCGAGTCAGAGAGAAGTGGGTGTAGGTGAGGAGTAGTGTTCACTCCCGAAAAAGATGGAAGAAGAGAACGGGTCTAACTCCTTCAAATCCACCCAAAAAACTGCAAAGCTAACGACTGCCTCCACACCGCTTTGGAGAATGGAGCATTCTCCTGCAGAGTTTGTGAAACTCTTAAGGTTGGAACCAAACCCCCAATTCAAGAGGCAGATGCTGCAGGTTGGGGTAAGGTTCATTGATGAATTTGTCGGAAGAATTCTTTCCCCGGTTCATGAATGAAAGTGAATATGAATACCATCATTATTTAAGACAAGTTATCCCGCCCTCGGTGGTGGAAAGTGACGCTTGTAGAGCGTATGGCCTCATTGAACCAGGGCGGTGATGAGGCTTGAAGTTGAATTCAGCGTACAGGTCTCGCGGTTTAAAGAAGATTGTGCAACTGCTGGTGGGTGAAAACAAACTTGTTCATCACCTCCATTCCGAGCATCCTACTGAAAGAAAGATGTTGGTGACAGATACCAGGCCACATTTCTGGTGACATACGTTCCCAAGGGCACAAGGGAGCACACCACACGCGGTTCCAGTCAGGGTGGGCATCGGATGGTGGTTTGGCAAGAGGTTTCAATCTATCAACCTTTTGTAAACTGCAACCCTCCTCACCCTTTGGGGAAGTTATGAGAAGTTCACAGGGAGATAGAGAGAGAGAGAGAGAGAGAGAAAAAAAAACAAAAGCAGCACTTGTTAGCTGCAGCCTCTCCTTTGCGCCCTTCTGGCCAATGCTTGTCGCCTGGGGGCGAGCCGCCCGAGGCATCTTATCGCGCCTGGGAGGCGCCAGCTTCGAGATTTCAGCACCGGAGCTCCAGGAGCGATGCAAGATGTTGAGGAAGCTCTTGCCCAAGCAGCTGGCGGAGGTGTTGCCGCTTGGCTTGGCACCAGCCATGCAACACACCCCCAACATATCCAACTCTTGGCCCAAGGGCCGTCCTCGGAATAGAACCAACCTTTGGGACACTTGGAGTTGGAGCCAAGAGGTTTGAGAGAATTTACCGCAGATTCACATGGAACCCCCAAACCCACCGGGTTTATTCTTCGGACACGTCGTGGAAAGAACGGGCCATCGGGAAAGGACTCCAGGGCGAGAAATCGCCCTCAGCGACGGGACCAAGCCAAAAGGCTCCAGGGGCGAGATGCCATTGACACACAACCCAGTTGGAAGTCTATAATTCCCCCTCAGGACGTCCTGGCTCAAAAAGACCCATTCTGAAGGAACTAAGAGCCATGGAAATTGAGTGGAGGGAGCATACACATAGGAACCCATGCCTTGCATTGGAGGAGAACCACGCCAAGATCCTCTCAGGCTAAGACTTCCCGAACTTTTGCGCTTTGATCCTCTCAGCCTTTCTGGCAGCTTTGAGACGATCCAGATGCACTTGGGATCCGACGCATGGAGTCAAGGTCTGGGCGATCTCGCCACGAGGTCAAGATACGGCGGTGACGGTATTGCCAGCATCGACATGGCCAGCACTCGTGATGTTGATCGCCCATGCAGATGAGGTTATGAAGTGTTTCAGGATACTTCAGGTTTGCAGTTGTATGGAGGTTCGAAGACAATTTCAACTATGTTTGTTGAGGTTCATTTCAGGTGCGCGAGATATTCAAAGTTCAACGTTTTCAGGGCGAATCTATGTCAATTAAATGATTAATTGACGTGTTGCTGTAATTTGGGCCGGTGCTAGCCTCACCTTGATTTAGGAACCTATGGGTGTTGTGGGAGGGCAGCTGGCGGGGGGCTGTTATTCAAAAATTTAAATAGTCATCAAAGAAGGGACTTGCAATGGATTGGATGTTCAGCAGGCATGGATTGGATGTTCAGCAGGCTTCTTGAGAAGCCATTAGACTCCCTCGAGTGACATGATACAGTAGTTTCTGCGTGATACACGCAGTTATAATACCAGAGGCCTAGGCATCCGCTGAAAATCGAGGTCCTCGCCATTAAGATCCACTGAGTGATGAGTTTGTTGGGGAAACCTTGAGGTAGTAACATAGCCCTTGCAGAAGGTCCTAGGCGTAGTGCGGGAGCAAGTTGGAAGTACACCTACAAGCCTACAAAGGATAGCATTGAAAACATGTAGCAGCTAAGGATGAGGCCTTGAAATCCTGTTCAGAACATTTGCGACTGCTAACTCTCCACCCTGAGTGGCTCGGCGGCACAACCATGACTTGTGATTTATAAAATCATAGACTAGCGCTTTGCTGTTTAGGTTGCATGTACTAAGCAGCTATAATAGGGCCATCTTGGCATCATGTCCCAAGATTCCTCACGTTTCTCGTCGCACCGTCGGCACGGTTGGGCCATCTTGGGGCCCTGCCGGCCCTGATGGATGCTAGAGCCAGAAGAGGATGTGAGGGCTACAGGCAGAAGAGGATTAGATCGACCTTATCAATCAAGCTTGAAAACCTGGCACCCCCAGCGGCCAGGCTCCACAACTCCAGGCGATCCCTGTGATATGCTGTGATCCCGGGTGGTTTTGGGACCGCAATTTGGCATGTTCTTTGAGGCTGGTGCACTTCTTCGAGGTTCTCAACGCGAAGTTCACGGATGAAGAGCTTCGAACGCTCCACCGCATCGCAGGTGCGGGTGGCTCAGACCAACGGCACTAACTCGGGTGGACTCCAAAAGGCTGGTCGGAGGCTCCGCCCATCTGCGGATGCCCAGAAGATGCAAGTCGCGCTCGTCTCGGAATGCCCAGCTCGTGACGATGGTCCAACTCGTGGTCCAAGATGTGACGAGATGTAGGGTTTTGGATTGTTGACCCGAACCCCAAAACATTGGATGAGGAGCGTTGGGGTTTAGCGTTGGATACCAAACAGACTGCCTGATTGGACCCAGATTGGAAACGCCAGGAAACATTTAGGACACCCAACAAGAGCGAGTTAGTACATCTATGTACATCTAGAGGTCCTACCGTCCTGCCAGTCCCCATACACATTTGGGGAGGTCGTTCCGTAGCTGGATGAAAACCCATCCTTCCCCCATCCAAGCTCTGGGGGAGTCCACCAGTACCAAAAGGTGCTTGCACATGTTCCACGTCTTTTTTCCACGCAGTTCTGCGAGTTTTCGACGGTTCTCTTCAGGGCTTGTGTCCCCAAACCTCGCCAGCTGATCAGCTGCCTTGATCCACACATCTTCCAACATCTTCCAACTTTGCGGAGAATGGGATTGCACTTTGGGATGCTTGTCTCCAAACCTTGCGGAGAATGGACCCCACTGTGAATCTGATAATTGTTTTATGGTGTTTTATAGCTCCCAAGCTGAGGGGAAGAATGCATTCAACGTGAGTTTTGTCCAGTTTTTGGATGTTTTTGGTGTTATGCTGAACCAAATTCATCAACAATCACTTTTTCAGACATGTGTTGGTTTCTCCCCGTGTTTTCCCTCCGGTCTTGCGGCCTTCAGGCGAATGGATCCAGTGGCCCCGCTTGGTGGGGCAGCCCGACGAGGAGATCCAAACCTGGCAAGGCCGGGCAAGTCCTTGTGGTCTTCGCGAGCGGCGTCCGTCTGGAAGGAGAAGGATCTATAGAGAGAGAGAGAGAGAGACTCTTAAGATGAATAAACCACCCCTTTGAAGAGGATGTTCAATGCATGTCTGGGGGGGTGTATTAATCAAGAGTCTACATTATAACGAAAAAAAAGAAGGAGGACATGATTGTAGGCAGACTGTATAGGCCCTCTATGAGCTTTTTAGAGATCTGTAGAGGTTGAGTGTAGATACAGACTGGTCAGACTGTAGAATTGACTGAGTCTGAGGTGGTTTGTTGGAGGGTTGTGACCGTTCGGGCGGCGAAAAAGGGCCGTTCAGCTGAAAACAGCAGGGTGGCTGTTGGGTCAACATCCGGAGCGGCTTGCGTTCACGGACAGGAACATCAGTGCCATTGATATGAAGAGGATGATAACAGGATGATAGACGGGTAAACTAAGGTTGGCAAACTACGGTGCTGGGGAACTATGGTGATATATACGTAGGTGTTCCAATTTGAGTCCATGGGCCACATGGGAGATACCCTTGACCGAAAGGCAACATTTTAACTTGTTGACCTTGTTCAAGCCAGCCTTGGGGCGGAATGCAGCCTTCAACATGTTTCATCATTCTTCTGATAGATTTGGACAGGTGAGGAGTGGATCAAGAACGCTTGCTCAATTCTTTGGAGGGTTACCCTCCCTGAAACACTCATGGTCGGGTGGATAACCACCAGTTTGTAGAGGAAAGCAGTCTTCCAAAAGGCCATGTTCCCCTTCCATGTTTGTTGGAGGGAGGGTACTAACATCCAGGAAAGCAACTTGAACTGAGCGATCCCAACCTGCTTGACCAGAAAATTTGTATTTTTTGATTGAGGTCAACCAATGTCGAAGAGCGATACAACCCAAAAGAGCCGTATGTAGGCCCTTCATGGTGACACTGTGTACATCAAGATGCTGCCATGATATATCGATCACCATGAATTTCAATGATATATTCGATTCACTGCACTTTTTATGGTATGTCATTCTGGTTTGGTCCTTGCCCAACTCCGTGCCGCCGAAGCCGACGTCGCACAGACCTCCGCGGAAGTCGGCGGCATCGCCAGGCCGTGTCTTCGCGCAGTGCCGCGAGGGCCGCGCCAAGGACGAAGGGCGCCGGGGGCTTGCCCCGTTTGGAGGGAGGAATTGAACGGTGCTGGGCCGCGCGATGGACGAACGGGTTCTTGAACCCGCCGGGGCCGCCCGATGAAGGGCGCCGGACGAACGGAGTCGGAAGCGGAGTGGGAAGAAACTCAACTGTTCGGGATTGGGGCAATGGTCTTCCAAGGGATCCTTTGGAACACCCATAGCGACATATAGCGACCATTTGATCAAGTCAAATCCTATATTTCAATGGTCTAAGACAACGACTCCTGGCTAAAAAACAACAAAACTACCAAACCCATTGGCAGCAAGGCCTCACAACTCACCCCCCAAAAAAACCTAATCTTGTCACGACCAGAACAACTTAAAAGTGGGGCGACCAAACCACACCCACTTGGTTGTCTCACAATTCACCCTCCTCACTTACCTCCTTCCCCCGACTTCGCCCAAACCGCTTCCCAAAGGAGCGCGTGAACGCCTTCGGCGCTGATCCCTATGGCGCCGCCGCGCTGGCGCAGACCACAGGCAAGCAAGAGAGGAGCAACATGAACCCTACCCGTCCAAGGAACAAATAAAACCTGGTCATTGTACTCATTGAGTAAGTACTGATAATTACTGTGTTACTTGTGTGTTTTTTGCATACTAGTTACTAGTCATCCAAATGCAGATGCTTCACCATCCAGTTAGGGGCAGGGGGGTCTAGTCGAATCACTTTGAGCCATTCTCTCGTTCTGTCACCATGTTTGTCTCCAACCTCGCCTTTTCGTGCAAGCCAGCCATGCACAAACTCCCCTGGATAGGGTTTTCCTTTGCGCGCTGGCCAGCAGCGATTCGATAGCAACCTATGTAAATCCCTTTGGGCACCAACCAGGTGCACGGTATTTTGGTATTTGAGCCAAAATGTCGAACTTGAACAAACTATAGTAAGGTATTCTCAGCCACTTAGTCAGCCACTTTTACTTGCAAGCACGCCGTTCCGAACCACAACCAGGGAAGTTATCGGTAAGGCTTTGAACCCACACAGCCGTTCAAAGAACTTCTTGCCATCTCCTAGTCATTTACCACCCACCAGACCCATCCGAAGAGCGACCGTCATTAATGCATGCAGCGTGAAACACAGCGCTTGCGCTTGCGCTTGTCAACAAAACAGGCTTTGCTGAAAGAGTGACACCACGTTTTGCACCCCATAAGCGGCATGTGGCAAGGACTCATTCAAGTTCTCCTAACATTGTCACACACGGAAGTGAAGGGGGAGCCAGTATCCTAGGTCTACGCCTGGGTCTTCCTGGTACAGAGCAAGCAAGAGAAACTAAGGAGATGTTCTAATCAGATCTGGACTTGAATGATAGTCAGACAGACTTTCCAGCCATTCCTGACCGCCTCACAGGTCAAATTCCGGAGATTCCTCCACTTTTGGATTGACCCGACGCAGGCACGGGATGCCAAGGGAAAGATTTGACGGAGGATGCCAAGGGGACTCAACATCGAGGTAAGGTAGGACACGGGAGGGGCTCAGTTTTTGAAGTAGATGACACAATCTCTACGCAGGCTATTGATGTGGACTTGCACCACAAGATATGAAGAGAGGGTTGTGCCATGTACATCATCTACTCTGAAACTGGTTTCACCAGCCCCCTTGCAACGTGGGGCTGGTCCGGGCTGGTTCACTCCATTAGATCTCCCCGGACGGTGGCAATTTGGCCCTTTGACATGTCGAATGTAAAGCAAAGCTCACCAGCAGCCCTAAAAAGCCAATGAACAATAGGTTAAACCATGGAATTACACCATGTTTTCTTGCTAGGGAAACCCAGCTTTTTGATGGTTGTTGTGGGGCCCCGCTGGTAGAAGAGTCCTTTTCACATCCTTGGCCATCCATCACCTTCGCCCTCGCAGAGTCTTCACGAGGCCAGTTTTGCGGCGATGGTGCTCAGCTGTCGCCTGATGGGCCTCAGCTTAGGCTAGTGAGTGTCTCACCTTGGCTTCCGGTTCCCCCAAAGGGGGACCACAGCTGGACGCGCTTTTTGAGAAAGCTGGACCCAGCGGGAAGCTCAAAACAACGTTGTCGCCCAAGCTTCTTGGAAGGGAAGGATGGAGACACATTGGCTTTTTAGAAAGGTACATGAAAGAAGTTAGAGGCAAAGTTTCCAAGGAATAGATGTCACGAAAGGGGACAATGAAACATGCTGCCAGAGGAAGTATGTGGAGGATAAGGGGGGGGGTCCTATGACTCATTGTTTTTATGTTGTTTTGGGGGGTAACTATCTTTGCTTGTGACTGACCTCCATCCACAATTTCAGGAAATCGCCAAACGTGTCCAAGTCCTGTGTTTGGGGTCTGCGGCGCGGGCCGGGCCTGTGCAGCTGCTTCGCAGCCACCGAGGCTGCGGCTGAGTGGTGTGCAGTACCGCAAGGGTGATGCAATTCAGGCCATGTCAGAATGGTCTGGCCATGTCAAGCAACACAGCTTCTCCAAAAGCCACGTGAAGGCCCAGGTGCACCTGAGAGGAGAAAACAACATCTGGGCACACCCCAAAAGCACTCAACTGCTACTGTAGAAACTTTGAATAAGGGGTCTCTGGATGTCCCTGGATCCGATTTTTGGATCTCAAGGAGTTGGTTCAGTCTGTATTTTTGGGGGTCCTGATCTCGTTGCGGAGCGTTCGCCATCGGATCTCGTTGCGGAGCGTTCGCCGCGACGGAGTCGACTCGACTCGTCCCTCCTGCAGGTGTGGAGCGACTCCAATGGTGCCTGGGTGGACGGAGTGGTCGAGGAGTGGTCGAGAGGTCAACAGGAGTGGTTGAGATCTAAAGCAGTTCTGAACGTGGCGTTTGCCATGGAGTTCTGAAGCTGGTTATGGCGGGTTTATAACTTATAATAACCTATAGCCTATAGTATTGTATTAGTGACTTGATATCATATCTTGATTTTTGCTTGGTAAAGGACAAGCAGTCACCCCGGAGACTTAATGTACATGTTTTCATAAGAAGTGGTAATGTACCGGCGGGCCACGGCGGGTGACTTCCGCAGCTTCTCGTTCGGCCGAAGCGGTGGCCTTTGGCTCAGACTTTGCACTGAAGGTCGGAGGCCCACTTTTTTGCGACCGCTGCTGTGTCATGTGATTTGGGAGGACCATGCCACCATGGTCCTTGTTGTTTCTTGGAAGTCCTTTGGTGGGTTGGGGTTCTTCAATGTTCTTCAGCTGCTGATTGCCCCTATCAAAGCACATGGAAGGAGCCCCCGTGCTTGCCTGCTGCACATGTAGATGCTTGCTTGCCAGTGTGTCGCCTGGAGAAACCGACTCAAAGCCTCCAAATGCCGATGGAAGGAGCGAACGACCATCTAACAAGACTGTACGTACATCATCTCATCCCTAGCAGTCGTCGACTATGTTTAAAATAGTGGAGGTAACCTCGACTATATTTAGGAGGTAACCACTTTTACACCCTATGCCAGGAGGCCTATGCCGTGGACACCAAGGGCCGAGGGTTCACTATCCCAGACGGGGGCCCTGGCGCGCCATCCGCGGCTGAGCCGTTGCTGGTGGGTTTGCTGGGCTCACTGAACAGGGTTTTTCGTCCCCGGTTGGGGTGGATTCATCGACATATTTGTTAGTATCAGTATAGTCCTCAAATATGTCTGGTTGGATGCTGTGGATGATTCAATCCCCCCGCCAGAAGAGGCTTTGCGAGTCAAATGAGGGGGCGGTTTAGCTATCCAGAGTCTACAATTGAATTGTTCAACCAGTAAGCCTGGGATGGTTCAACTTGATGCCTGGGATCTTCAAATAAATTTAAACTAAACCATTGAACAGCTCCGTGTGCTGTAGCACCTTTTCATGAGTGACAAGATTTTTAAGTCCCACAGGCAACAGGTTCAACAGGGACCATTTGCTTGGTGATTTGTTCGGGCCCTGTGCATCACAGCACTAGGGACACTGAGCACAAAGATGTTGAGCCACCAAATCCAGGTAGACTTTTCATTGACTCACTCTACTTATTGATTGGACCTTAAATTCGGAAGATTCATGTGGCATGAGTCAGTTACTTTCAGCCAAAAGATGTTGCCAACGAGTCTGCATGGTAAAGGATACATACTCTGCGTGGTCCATTCCGCGCGGTTTGACGAGACGAACACGTTCTCAAAGACGGTTCGATCGCGCCTGTCAACCCAGGCTGGTTCTTTGCTGGTTCGATCGAGCGCCGGTGCGAAGCTCAGATGGTGTCGGGCCAGGCTTAAGCGCCGGTGACCCGAAACCACCAAATGCTCCAAACGGGTCAAAGTGAATATTGCGGGAATATTGCGGGAATATGCGGAAACGATCGCAGAAGCATACTAGTATTTTAGGCCATCATCGGTGTTGATAGTTGCATTTAAACCTTGTTGCTTTTAGACTGTTAAGAACTCATTGCAGGACAGCCACAGCTGTGAGATGCCTTGATAAGACGAAACTTAAATGACAGACGCTTGGACATTATGCACCCGGGAACCTGAAAATGGACCTTTGGAAGACTATGTTCTTCTACTTATGTTAATCTTCCAGGGTGTACGCCTGTAGATGTTGGCTTTGGATTTTGCATGCGTTCCGAGCAAGTTGAGGAATTGTCCTGCTTCTAGGCAGGTTAATGTAGAATAGTTGCATGGCTGACTACCGTACAACATTGGAGGTAAGATGAGATGGGCACAGCATGGCACTGCGTACTTCATGTGTATATACACATGTTTATACATTTTTGGGACGCGGTCCATTGAGGCGAGGCGAGGTGTGGTCCAACTATGTCCAACTGCTGCAGATATCCCCAAATTTAGCCACCTTCATCCGTCATCCTAACCGACCTGTTTCCTTTGGCTCAAGGAGAACAGGTGCGGTATCTTGGTACTTGTGGGCCGTTTACCTGTAACGACACGCATGTACATTCAACTTCTTGCACGACGTGTTTCGTTCAGCGATTCGACGCGAAAAGGCACCTCCAAGTGGGTGATGCCCGATGCCATCGGCAAGACCTTGCGGCCGCCGGGGTCTCAGCGGCGGACTCGAGCGGCCGACCTGGAGGGCGAAGGTGCGATGGTCCTCCTGGGAAAAGAGCTTGCTTCATCAATCTTTCTACAGGAGTCCCAATGATCACCAATGCTTTTAATGATGTCCTGAACTTCAAAGACAAAAGCAACTGTAGTTATCCTGACTGTTAGGTGCGTTTTCTCAGGATGTTGAAGTACAGCCTGGATAACCCTCCGACGAACACATCACATGGTGACGTGGATGGCATGGACCCAACAGGATGATGATTTTTCCGAAAGCGTAACAGGGTGGGCCATCCACGTAGCCATGTGCTCGTGGTGTATAAGTCTAAAGTACACAAGACTGACATGACGAGCCTGGGAGGATGGAAGATCTTGCTGGTACATCATGTGTTGCTTCAAGAGGTGCGTGTTCAACAATGAAATCAGCATCTTATGTGAAAACACAATCGAAGGGAGTTGGGAGGGGGACTTTTTGATACCTTTTGGGAATCGGGCCGTGCAAAATGAAGGGGTCTCCAGAGAGGTGCTAGTAATGGTCTTGGCCACATATTATATAATTATTAATATAATACTCACTCTACGTCAGTGCCTTCCGCTGAGGTCGAATGCCGCCCCGCCAATCTTCGAACGAGGCCCTCTGTATGTAGTGCGCATGCAATTAGATTACTCTACTCTATACGCGAGAGTCTTTTCAAGTGTTAGCTATCTTTGAGAATGTTTGCATCCTTTCGTGTTGCGCGCGTTGCGGATCGCAAGCACGCTATAAGCCATCCATTTCATCCATGCCATGTCCAGTCGTCGCTTCGTTGGTTCCATCGCGGTGGGTGGACCGTGAACCGTGGACCTCCGCGATGGGGGAGCCGACGCAGGTGAGAAGATCCACGTTTGGAGCGAGAGTCGGAAGGACTGGCTGCTAGGCGAGGGGGGTGGGATCTGGTGCGTGTTGGGACTAGCCGAGGTGAAAAGGTGTAGAAAGGAATGGACGTCTTAGATGATCACAGATGGAAGTACGCAGGGATTCCCACCCCATCCATGAAATGGAATCAGGTGATAGAAGCCTTGGACTCCCAAGAGGTTTCATCACATCTGGGTGCTGTGAAGACCTCACTCCAAACACCATCTTTCCAACATGATCGATCAATTCAAGATGACCTACAGACCTACACCACACCTACACCACACCTACACACCTACACCACACCTACACCACCAAGAAGTTTCATCAAATGTAGGCCAGTCCTGGACTGCGTTCTTCGCATCAGATCCTTTGGGCATGTCTCTTCACGTAGGCTGAAACAGGTCGATCGGAGGTCCATTCTCGGTCACCGTCCAGACCTTCCGTGGAGGTGTTGTACAGGAGGTCTTCGTGACGGACACCAAGACCGAGGGCTTTGAAGCTAAGCTGAATTGGAAGCGACGACCGGTCCAAACGTGGGGAACTGGGTCGGCGTCCTGCGATTCCAAGACTGGGAGAAGGACGGCGAGATGTTAAGTGGAGTACAAACGTCATGTTCTGACGCTTTTTTTCAAGTATCAAAATAAGTGCAAACTATTATGTGGTGTCCTTTTGCTGAGGGGTTCTGGAGAGCAGGGGGCTGACACCCGACACATCAATGCAGTCGAGGATTTGTGTAGTATGGTATCTACCGGTGTGTAGCCACTGTGTGGAACAGTCTGGAGCTTCAAAATCCTCATGGCACATCATAAAAGGATATAATGACTGTTGATTGTATGTACATATAGAGTAAAAGCAAAAGCCCATTCTGACACCTTTTCATGCTAAGGGGTTCACCTGTCATCAACAGTCTACATTGACTGTTAGAGGGCGTGTTTAACAGGTATGTCAGGTCTGAGATGTGGTTTCACAAGATCCTGGAACTCGGACCAGCCTGCCATGGGTGGGCATTCCACATCTACTGCTTCAGGGGTCTTGTTCCCTCTATCCTTGAAGGATCTTGAAGGCCAACATCTACATGTTTACACTCCATGAAAAAATAATGGAAGTGGAACATAGGCCCCTGGAAGAATATGTTTGTTGAAAAGAGGTGGATTTCCACTTTCGTATGAGCTTTCCTCGGAGAGTATGCACCAGGACTCAGAACTAGCCCTCAATTCCATGCGCATGCCACATTCAGCGGGCGTCATCCGCGCTGAGGATGTGCCCGCAGGTAGTCTAAAGGCGTGGAGCCGATAGCAGCTGGCAGCGGCAGTCGACTGTCCCCCGTCATGTCCTGGAACCGCCCCCCAGACCTCAACCGGCTTGTATAGATGCTTTTCCGGCGGTCATATAGACTGGGAAGATTGAAGACTTTTTCCGGTTCCGCGGTAGGAATTGGAATTGTCGAGGAGAAGGTTGAAGAGCCAGGTCAGAGGGTGTAGATTCTATACATACTGTAAATGAATTGGAAACAGACGAGCGCGAAGCCTACTGCTTGCTCTTTCTTATTCGGCCACCAGTTGATCTACGGTCGGACCAACACAAGTTCTTTCCAGTCTACTGGATGATGCTGGATGGTACCTTTTCAGAGTTGAGTCGAACTGAACCCTTGGCAAGTGGAACTTCAAAGAGCTGTGATCGCCTTGCGTCCAAGTCGCCCGCCAAACCCACAGGATCAGCTCCACCCGATCAGCTCCACCCGCAGTCGGTTCAGTCGCCTCGAGTCCGGTTGTCAGGTGCTCTCTCAGACCGGTGTGCCTGGAGCCTGGTGTGAACGACTGAAGCCATTGGAGCTGGGAAGCCACATGGATGAAGGAGAGCCCACTTAAAACCGTGGCACCTTTTTCAGGACACCCCCCCTCTGTCACGAGGTGTCAGCCCCGACTCCTTGCAGCACAGGAAATGATGGGATTCTTTTCAAACGCTAGGGATCCAAGTACCTTCTCAGAAGGTGATTGGAGACTATTTATGTAGGCTTGGAGGGCCAAGTACCTCCTGAGAAGGTATGTGGATCCCTAGGGAAAGGACTTATATGAATCGTCCACGTCTGTGTTACAGAGAGGGTCATGATTCATGATGATTCATGATGATCTCCATGTCCGTGGGTGTCCGAAAAACCGGCAAGAAGAACGCATTCCTCTTGAAAAAGGCCCACCCCTTACTGGTCATGGAACACGTCGTTGAATGTCGTTGAAACATGTCGAATTGTCGGAACGAGCTTGCCAAAACAGTCCTCACTTTCTTAAACGGTAACCACATGATTTACATATCATATAACATCATATATAACTATGTCACTCACTCACCTTCTGTCAATAAAGGTAATACAGGCCAACCATACGAAGCATCAAACCATTGATCGCTCCCATCCCTTCAGCTCTGAGGAAGTGGGTCCTCCCGGCAGATCGCCAACGGCTCCTGCGCAAGGTGCATCGTCGCTTCGTGGCCTGCACCCCCCGCGGGCTGGACCAGTTCTTGGGCCAAACTCTGGGTTTGGTTCCATCGGCAAAGAAGGAAGATCACAAAACATCTAAACACACGTCCCTTTGGACCGAACAACGAAAGGATAGGTCAAAGACTTTGGACCTGCGCTTCTGGTAGATCAACTTGTTAGTTCCTTGAAACCAACTGCGCCATGTCGCAAGCCATCCTAGCCATTTTCGCTCAAGTGTCACCTCCTGGAAGAAGAGAGAGCCATGGAAATTCAAGCACTCTCTGGTGCCACTGTCACCCAGCTTCATGAGGAGGAACTCAGCTGCATGGTCGAGAGTGGACAATCTGTAAAGGATCTGAAAAAGTTCCTAGCCAGTCGGATTGGATACTCGAGATTTCGACAAAGACTCGTCAGTGAAGAGCTGGGCGAGCTACGGGATGATATGCCTGTAAAAAAACTACCAAGTTTGCAGTTGGTAATCTTGGACTTCTGTGCGCCTGAGCAGGCCACTTCAGAGGCACTACTCCTTGCGTGTCAGAACAATCGAGTTGTTGAAGTTGAGCAGTTGCTTCAGAAACCACTGGATCCCAATAGGGGAGGCACGGGCCCTCCACCTGTGTGGCCTATGTATTCCGCGGCGGCACTGGGCTATTTGGAAGTGGTGCAGGTGTTGCTCAAAGCTGGAGCTGACAAGAATGCAGCAACTCAAGACGGGGAGACCGCCTTGATGGCTGCAGCTCGGGATGGCCACTTGGAAGTGGTGCAGGTGTTGCTCGATGCCGGAGCTGACAAGAATGCTGCAAAGCAAAACGGGGCAACCGCCTTGATGCTTGCAGCTCAGAATGCCTACTTGGAAGTGGTGCAGGTGTTGCTCGAGGCCGGAGCTGACAAGAATGCTGCAATGCAAGACGGGGCAACCGCCTTGATGATTGCAGCTCAGAATGGCCACTTGGAAGTGGTGCGGGTGTTGCTCGAGGCAGGAGCTGACAAGAATGGTGTTGCTCGAGGTCGGAGCTGACAAGAATGCTGCAATGCAAGACGGGGAAACCGCCTTGATGGATGCAGCTCAGAATGGCCACTTGGAAGTGGTGCGGGTGTTGCTCGAGGCAGGAGCTGACAAGAATGCTGCAATGCAAGACGGGGCAACCGCCTTGATGCTTGCAGCTTTCAGTGGCCACACTCAAGTGGTGCGGGTGTTGCTCGACGCCCGAGCTGACAAGAATGCTGCAATGCAAAACGGGGCAACCGCCTTGATGATTGCAGCTCAGAATGGCCACTTGAAAGTGGTGCAGATGTTTCTCCATGCCGGAGCTGACAAGAATGCTGCAAGGCAAGACGGGGTAACCGCCTTGTTTCTCGCAGCTGAGGGTGGCCACTTGGAAGTGGTGCAGGTGTTGCTCGAGGCAGGAGCTGACAAGAATGCTGCAAAGCAAAACGGGGCAACCGCCTTGATGCTTGCAGCTCAGAATGGCCACTTGGAAGTGGTGCAGGTGTTGCTCGAGGCCGGAGCTGACAAGAATGCTGCAACGCAAGGCGGGGCAACCGCCTTGATGCTTGCAGGTTTCAATGGCCACACTCAAGTGGTGCGATTGCTCCACTGAGCTGTGCATCTTCACGTGACAAGAATAAGACACCACCCCGGAAAGAAGAGAGGAAAAGGGAGCGAGAGAGAGAGAGAGTGAGAGTGAGGTGGGTATATTGAAACTACCAGGGTGTAAAAGAACCTCAGAAAGAAACCGAGACCAATCCACCAGGAATCCGTTTCCACCCAGGTGTTCCTCACCTCCGATCGCCAGGTGCAGGCGCCCACGGAGCTGGATCTCAAGGCCATGCTGAAGGCAGCCTTGTCGGGAGACCCACCCACCAGGCCACGGGTGGAAGTCCGGGCTCCAACCGTTGCCCGGACGGGTGGCCGTGAGAAGAAGACGAGAAGGAAGCACGTAGATGGAGTGGGCAGCATGTTGGTTCAAGCAAGGACTCCGCCACTGCGGATCTTGCGGTGCTGGACGAATACTATAGAATATTAGAATACTATAGATGATTAGGCTGCAAGGACGAGTTGCTGTGGACATGGCAGTATCTTATACAACCAGTGTTTCATCCTGAGGTCTCAACAGGTATGTTCAGTTCGGGGACCACGTGAAGCATGTTTGTTTAGCCATGAGCCTTCCAGGCCCATCGAGTAAACCGATGTCAACATCATTATGAACATGTGGACCAGGACATAGAGGAATTACTGTACATCTATACTGTTTATACTGTATACTTAATGATCATGGCCTTTTTCCTTCAAGACTGGGACAAATCTGCACTCGCATCTTCGAGACGAACGGCGTCCTTCGTCCTTTCAATATGAATGAATGATGTCAGTTATTATGATTAAATATATATATATATATATACACTGCCTAACATGGCATGGGCCGTGCCACTACCGACTTGAAACTCGTCGCGCTATTGTTGTGTGTGTTGATGACTAAATGGAGCACTCCGGGCCATATCGCACCTCAAAAGCTGCAGCTGCTTAAGCTTCAAGATCTCAAGTTCGAGTTGCGTCATGGCCCTTGCGAGTGGCCGTCGCGAGTGGGAAGGACCATCAGCCGGGGAAATTCACGCGGCTCCTACAGGTGTGCCAAGAGTGGGCCTTTGTCAATCAAGGGGGCCCTGAGAAAATGGGCACGATTGCGTGCTTTGATGGGGTTCCTAGCTGAAATAGCTTTCAACGGGAGATTTCGCTATGCTTCCACTCAAACACATGTTTGCCCAGTCAGGTGTTTGTTTTTCATCATTGGTGCCGGCCCCCCTGGAGGACATGCAGGGATTGGGCATGTCCGGGCGCAACGGGATCGCAACTGAGACGAGCAATGCATGGTTTTGGTTGATCGTCCGGCGTCCACCTTGGGAATCATGGCGAATCTGAACCCATGGCAGCCAAAGAATCGCACCACTGGTGTTGGTTTTGGTGAGCGACCGGAGTTCCCTTGTTCGAACCCCATCTTCACCAATGTCAGATCACCAGGTTTGCCCAGTTGGGACCTGGTTTTCTCCGTGAGATTGCCTGTCGTATGGTTTCTCAACACCCAGAGATTGTGAACTCTCAGAGGAAGACGACATGAGTGAAATCTCATCCTTCGGCCTCCGACCTCCTCCAGCCCTCGGACATTGGGATGAACAGATTGGACAGCTCCGTTCATCGCACGCGTTACAGTCACGTCATGTGTGTTCCGTGGATCCTGTGGCTGGTCTTAATGCATCGCTCAAAGTTTGAGGTGAAGCATTGCAAGTGGCATCAGCACTCATTGCAAAGGCTGTGACTTGGCCTTTTTGAAAGCCCAGGTGGACTTGCAGATGTTTGGTCAATGTGTGGTTGCCATTGTGTTCCAACACACTAGTGTTGATACTCGTAGGAGCTTTGCTTGTTGGACTTGGGGATCAATTGTGAGCAACTTTCAACACATGGGTTTTGAACTCAGTCCTTTGCATGCCCTTGAAAGTGCTTCACTTATGCACTTTTTCCAGGGCAGGCACATCAGGCACTGCTCAGGTACTGATTCTCAAGAGCGCTCGCGCTCCACAAAGCCACCGACCCTCCGCTCCCCCCAAAAAAGACATGCTCCGATGTTTCGTTTATATATTGGAATCCACATTTACCAGAGTTGCGGATGCCCAAAGAATTTCCAGCTGACATCAATGCTGTTGCGATGTGCACAACTTGGCCAAGAATGCAAAGACCTCGACACCAGGCAGACCATGCCGACACGATCCACCTAGTAGACCCCAAACCGCTGTTTTTCCTCAGAAGACACTTAAGCCATACACTTATGGCAGATCCTCAATGCACCAGACCCTGAAGAATAAGCCCTTGGCTGGTGCAAACGGTTTCTTTGCTGGAATCTTTGTTGCGATCAGCGCCACTTTGGGGTTTTGGCATGGTTTATACAACTACCTTTCAACACTTTAAAGCTCACCGGGCCACATGGCATCATCAGCCTCTACCGGGTGGGTGCTCACCCGACAAGCTGAAGAGAGCGAGGCACGCAAGGGCGCGCGATCCGCTCGGCCACCAACTCGAGCTCTTCAGGCAGTGGTCCGAGCCAGGAAGGTGGATCACCTGCTTGGCCTCTGGGAATTGACTCAACATACACAACAGGTGAACAGGTGGAAAACGCTTAACGCTTGAGAGGTCGCAGGTGGTTTTCCCGGAACACCCGGTCGGATGTGAGCCGTGGCCGGACTTGGTCTTTTGAATCAGGGGGACTCCACCTGATGGGTGGTTCTGTGGATGTTGGGGGTGTTGCTGTCCAACCAGGAACGGCTCCTTCCCCTCCTCAAGATTCTCAGCCCCAAGCAGAGGTGGTGGATGGTGGTAGTGTAGATGAAGCTCAAATAATTAGCTTTACCCAATCTGGCCTCCTGCATTTGTCGCATTCATGTGGTATAGTTATGTGCGCATGTGGTTAAACAAGTCTCAAAACGGGACTCATTCTTGCATGGCTCTTTTGCAGAAACCGACGCTGAAGCAAAGATCCATTCAATTAGGTCCCACTTTGTTTGAACATTCAGACCTTTGCCACACCCGTGCGCTTCGCAAGCTTGGAGTGCTTCGCGCACTCACGTACAGGATGGCTTGTCAAAGCCGAAGCTCCTGGATGATGGATGTCACGTCATGGATGCGGCTGAAGCTTTGCCAGAACATCAGGACGTGCGGTCGCAACCAGCGGGGGCGGTCATGTCAGCCGTGTCAGGCAACCCCCCAACAAGCACGAGAGGCAGGTTGGAAAACGGTGGAAGCAGGGTCTCAGTTTCCACTGGGAAGTTGGAGTTGTTTCCAAGCTGTTCTCGCCATATGAACCGCAAATTGATGTTCCTTCCGCGCCAATGGTGAGGCAAACATGGGCGCCATTGGTCCTTGGATGCCCGTTTGGTCCTTCTCACCCCGCCATGGGACGGCAGGATGCGAGTTGCGACACCGGCACGAGTTGCGACTCTACAGCGACCACCGGTGAAAGCGAGGAGCCGGAGGCGGCCGCTTTTGGCTAACTGAAGTGGGGCCGGGCGCTTTGCGAAATTGAGACGTGGCGGCGATGAGCTACTCTAGGGCCCGCTTGCAATGCAAGGTCTTCTTTGCACCGATTAGTTCTTGGCGTGTTTATGGTGAACAGCCAGCTGAAAGGTGAAGCCATTTTATACCTGGACCCTCCAAGGGATGTCCAATGGACTACCCCACACTACCTATAGGCTTCCATTGGGCACCCCTTGGAGGGCCCTGGTAGACAGAACACATTTTGGATGCAACTGATGCAACTTGTGTTTCCACCAGGAGATCGACGTGCAGTCGTGGAGAGCGGTTGGGTGCAAGGCAGCGGAAACAGTGCCAGATGGGTGCGAGGTGAACTGAGTTGGGAGGAGGAGAACTCCATGCAGGACGTTAATTTTGCCTATCCCATTCACAGAAGCTCAGAAGCTAATCAAACATTCACCCTGACCCTTGCGCTGTTGTCGGCCTGCACTGGCCTGCACGACTGTCCAGCAACCCCGATTCAGCTGATCCATGCTAATCCCCTCCGATCACCCAAACACTATCAACCACCGGTCGGCCCCGCCGTCGGCCCCGCAGGTGCTCCAGGTTCTCGAGGAACGCGACAAGCTCGACGAGCTCGAGGTCCGACGTCGAAAGTCTGGACATTGCCCCGGAGAGTTGGCTTTGCGGAAAGACCGCAAGTTGGGCGGTGTTTTTGATCCACCTAAGATGGGAAGGAAAAGACGAAAGAACAAAGGACTCTGCAGAGTGTGGTCAGTTCTGGGAAACCCAGAGTCTTTCATGCCACCCTATTGTTAAATCCAACTGAATGAACCTTTCGGGCCACCCAAAGTGATCAACTGCAACTGTGACCCAAATGCCTGCAGGTGGTGCCGATGGATGAGCCGGCGGCGAGTGGATTGCTTGGCGCCACTCACTCTCAACTCACTCAGGCGGCCAATGGCAGATGCTTCACAGGGCTCTTTAACCGGATTCCCAGCTACTAAGCCAGGCGTAGGAGGGAGCCGTTTGTTGAATTTGGGCATGGCTTGTCAAGTGCCAACTTGAATAACATTATTCCATGGGGTGACTGTTTAGAGACTTTTAAGATTTCTTGGATCCACCGGATGATGTTTAGCCGATGTCGTTACACGATTGTGAGATTGATTTGGGAGGCTTCTTTGCCATTTCTGCTTGTTTAGGTTGGACCCTGACTTTACAAGAAGTGTGATTGAATTGCCAGACCTTGGTACCCTATGGATCCACTGCCACCTTCTCAGAAAGTACGACTGGGCCCGACCCTGGCGCCTACATCAATAGTCTCCGTCCTCACCGTACCTCAGGAGGTATGTGAATCCATAGGGGTAGGCCGCCTTGAAGGCGCACAGCGCACGGCCAGGAATCCCCTGCTCTTGCGACCATGTTGCCTTCGGGTCTTGATGCGCCTCTTCTGCAAGTGGTTGCCATCCATGCATTTGAGAAGTTCGATAGATGTTGCCTAAATGCTTTACCGGGACCATGTTTAAAATGCTTGAATTGCAGGAGTGGAACAACATTCATGAGAGAGAGAGAGAGAGACAGAGATGGAGAGGAGACACAGCCAGAAACCAGATGCTCAAAGCCAATGGCACTATTACAAATAAATCATGATGAATCATGCACCCAAACACCAGCTATCCTAAATCCGCTCATATCCGCGAATTATCATCCACTAATCAACCCCCCAAAGGCACATGTTGCTCGTACGGATCACATTCTGGAAGTGAAGTGGCTGCACGGCCACTCCGGAGGCCTTGCTCGCCGCAAAACAAGCGCCGCCGCAAAACGGCCGCCCAAACGAGCCGTGTTTTCTCAGGAGCGCTGGGCGCAGGAGATGCAGATCCCACTGGAGCACCTCAAGGAGGCGATCCGACTCTTACAGGACTTGAACCTCGCGTCGCCGGCGCGAAGTCACCAGTGGAGGATCAAGGCCTGGACGCCACAGGACTTGGATTTGGTTTCCAGATCTTCTCCAGGACATTTTTGGTGTCAGAAGAGAAAGAACGCGGTGGCTTTCATAACTTGTTTTGGAGGTGTCCCATTCCTTGTTTTGAACGGCTTGGAATCCAAGTCTCCATGGTCTTGGCGAACAAGGTGCACGCTTGATAGACAGCCACGGCGTCTCCGCACTACAACTGCTATCAACGTCCAGGCACCCCTTCTCAGGAGCATCGTCCGAGTCCCTCCCTTAGCAGCGCGTTCTTCATTTTCATGTATAGACTGTGGTCAGATTGCGATTTTAAACTGCGTAGCATCAACTGCGCTTGCTATCACTTCCACATGAACGTCAACACCACACCACCACATCGGTGCCGAGCATAGCATCAACTGCAGCAACTTCACATTCAGATTCAAGTGCGCCAAACACGCATAAATCCGCATAAAACTTCTCCCAGTAGCCCTGACGGAAATCTCCAAGTGCCGCAAATACGAAATATATCAATTGCATCCCCAAAGGCGCCCAAATCCACAGCCGTCTATGTCCTGTGCCCAACTGACTACCTCAGACCATGGCCATCGGGCCAGCGCCAGTACTGATTTGGAGCAACTTCTGGTTTTTGAGGAGGGCTATGCCATGCCCTTCATCGCCCAGTATCGCAAGGATGCGATCGGCCTTCTGTCGCTGGAGCAGTTGAACCGCCTGCAGAGGACTGAAGGTGTGGTGAGGGAACTCTCCTCAGGCAGCTGATGCTGATGCTGAGGTGTGCCAAGAAACAGCATGACACAGGGGATATATACTTCTATAAAGCCCCACGGGTTGTATGGTTGGGCTGTTTGAAACCCAACCAGCTTTGCTTCTTGGACAGTTGTTTGGCGGATTCAGTGTTTCCCGCCACAACTTGCACCCAAGGATTCTGTGGTCTTCCTCCAAGTAGCCTCCCCACTTGTGCGAGGAGGCTGGAGCAACACCAAGCCCTGGAGAGGAAACGCCAGGAGGCGTGCATGCGTCGAAAGTAAGGAGCATATATATATATATATATAAAGAGCGAGCAAGAGAGAGAGAGAGAGAGAGAGACAGAGAGACATGAGAGAGGGGGTGGCGCAAAGCAATTTTTGCTCAAGTGTCCCTTCCTGAAGGGGAGCCATGGAGATTCAAGCACTCTCTGGTGCCACGGTCACCCAGCTTCATGAGGAGGAACTCAGCTGCATGGTCGAGAGTGGACAATCTGTAAAGGATCTGAAAAAGTTCCTAGCCAGTCGGATTGGATACTCAAGATTTCGACAAAGACTCGTCACTGAAGAGATGGGCGAGCTACAGGATGATATGCCTGTCAGAAAACTACCAAGTTTGCAGTTGGTAATCTTGGACTTCTGTGCGCCTGAGCAGGCCACTTCAGAGGCACTACTCCTTGCGTGTGAGAACAATCGAGTTGTTGAAGTTGAGCAGTTGCTTCAGAACCCACTGGATCCCAATAGGGGAGGCACGGGCCCTCCACATGTGTGGCCTATGTATTCCGCGGCGGCACGGGGATATTTGGAAGTGGTACGGTTGTTGCTCGAGGCTGGAGCTGATGTGAATGCGGAAGATCAAGATGGGTCAACTGCCTTGATGATTGCAGCTCACAATCGCCACTTGGAAGTGGTGCGGGTGTTGCTCGAGGCCGGAGCTGACAAGAATGCTGCAAGGCAAGACGGGGCAACCGCCTTGTTTGCTGCAGCTTTCAGTGGCCAATTGGAAGTGGTGCGGATGTTGATCGAGGCTGCAGCCGACAAGAATGCAGCTACGGCTGAAGGGGGAACCGCCTTGATGACTGCAGCTTTCCATGGCCACTTTGAAGTGGCGCAGTTGTTGCTCGATGCCGGAGCTGACAAGAATGCTGCAATGCAAGACGGGTCAACAGCCTTGATGTTTGCAGCTGGCAGTGGCCACTTGGAAGTGGTGCAGGTGTTGCTCGATGCCGGAGCTGACAAGAATGCCGCAAAGCGAAGTGGGGCAATCACCTGTGTGTTTGGAGACTTCAATGGCGACTTGAGAAAGGCGTGGCTGTGGGACAAGAATGAAGCAAGGCGATACTACGCGGTAACCGCCTTGATGCTTGCAGCTGGCTATGGCCACTCGAACGTGGTGCGGGTGTTGATCGAGGCCGGAGCTGACAAGAATGCAGCAGTGCAAGACGGGGCAACCGCCTTGATGCTTGCAGCTGTCAATGGCTACTTGGAAGTGGTGCAGGTGTTGCTCGAGGCTGGAGCTGACAAGAATGCAGCATTGCAAGACGGGGCAACCGCCTTGATGCTTGCAGCTCAGAATGGCCACTTGGAGGTGGTGCGGGTGTTGCTCGATGCCGGAGCTGACTTCTTGATTTTTGCAGCTGCCAGCTGTTCTAATGGCCAGACACCGGTGCAGATGGGATACTATAGACTCTACACCAGAGATGACCAGAGGGCGGAGAAGGCAAGTGGAGCAGGCACCTTGATACTTGCAGCTCACAATGGCCATTGGGAAGTTGTGGGGTTGCTGATGAAGGGTTGGCTGAAGCTGAGAATGACCAGATGGAGGTGGTGCGGATGTTGCTCGAGGCTGAAGCTGACAAGCATGCAGCTCCAGCTGATGGGTCAACCGCCTTGATGGCTACAGCTTTAGATGGCCACTTGGTGGCGCTGCACTTGTTTCGCTGAGAGGCTGCGAGCAAAACAAAGAGAGAGGGAGGGAGAGAGTGTCCAAAGAAGACAACTTTGGAATTCGGTCATTCTCCCCCCAAACGTCGGTCATTCTCCACGGAGGAGATGTGGAACTTTCCAGCGTTTGTCCCCTGACTGACTCCTATACACTCACTCACTAACATGGAAGTGGAGAATGGCCCCTTGGAAGACGATTTTCGGGGTTGCCACTTCCATGTTAATGTTTTCGTCCGAGTGTATTTTGGTTGGATTCCATGTGGGTTTGGTTGGATTCCATTTGGGGTGAACTGCTCCACTATCGAGGTGGCCCTCGCTTGGTCGGAGATTGGATGCGAGCCGCCTGCAGACATCCAAGCAAGCCTCCTTCAGTGCCACTGGGCGTGGGAACTTTGAATGGGCCCAGAGAGTTGCAAGACTACACAATGACGATGTATCTTCCAGTGGTTTTGTTCCACCTCCTTCCAGTGGTTTTGTTCCACCTTGCCTCAATGCTTGGAATCACAGTTTCTTGCTTTAATCCCTCAGGTGCTTCATGGTGCTTTTGTTTTAACATATTCATTCACCTCATTCGCCATGTCTCGAGGCACAAGTCTGGAGGACCTTGAGGAGCTCCAATGCAGCGCCAAGCGCTGCCATGCTGCTGGTTCAGCGCTGACCCTGGAGCAGCTGGACCAACTCTTGGCACGAGCTGAGGCCTGCAGTCGCGACGCAGGAATTGGCACTTGTTGGAAGATGTTGCAAGGTGAAGTTGCTGAGATGATCCAGGGGGCCCTTGTGAAAGCAGATGAAGATCATTGTGCAGAGATGTTTAGAGTAATGTTTAGTGGTTTAGTACGTATCTGAATTCTTTTGTGAGTTCGGTGTCCTTTGGGTGCCTGTTTTGGCATTTAGGGCAGTGGGAGTGGGGAGAATTTGTTTCTTTTCGTGTTTCGTTGCCGTAGCTGAAGGTGCTTTGTGGCAGTGGCACACCTGTCATTTCTCCTTCGCCACGTTCACATAACGATCAGTATTATCCACCCCTATGGGTCCACATTCCTTCTCAGAAAGTATTTGGGCCCTCCAAGCCTACATAAATAGTCTCCGTCCTCACTGTACCTCAGGAGGTATGTGGATCCATAGGGTATGTAGGTCTCCTCTGAACAAAGTTTTCTTGTTTGGGAGATCGACTGCACATTGCAACCATGGCTGTCCATGGGAGTACCTGCTCCATATTGCTCAGACTACTGAGTCTACAGTCCGACACAAGCACGGATGTGGAAAATCTGTTGCGAGGAGATCCCAGACTGCGAAGGCGCAGCGCAGAACGGATGCGCTTTCATCAGAGCGGAGCCGGTTTGAACGTGCAATCTGCCGAACATGATTTCTGGGCATGTTTTGTTCATGTGTTGTTGGGGGTGCCTGCGCAGACATGACCACACCATTGGGATCCATTTGGTACACTTGGCGAATTGATGTCGAGGGGGCAGCTTTGTGCCAGCCTGCTGGTTTAGATGGCATTGTGTTTTTCAAACATTATAGTAATCAATCAACACTGTTCCCAAAAGATACAGGAATAATCATGAATAATCCTTGAGAGGGCGCCGGGCAGAGCTGTGAGCCTGTGTATTTTCCAGTAAAATCAGCTATTTTTAGGTGTCCAGTAGAGAAACTTTGCCACATGAAATGCATACGCTCACAGTGCTGCTGTCTTTTCTATGAGACTTTATTCTATTACAGTGTGTCTTCAATGAATGAATGCTCAACTTTGCTTTACTGTTTTTTAAAATATAGTATTGACTGCCCATGAAATTTAATGTTTTAAAACACGTGCATCTGTTTGAACTATTTAAATTGTCTTCCATGAGCTGCTTTGGTTTCTGTAATCCTTTTGCAGAGCTGCAGTAGGAACTTCACGACGACGAGACTCATCAAGACTTCTTCGATCACATTACCTGGATTTGATACAAATCCTCGTAGTTCCCAGTAAGTTGGACAAGCGGATGAATGATGAATCCCTTTGAGAGAGAGAGATGCTGCACAAGGATGAATGGGGGCACAGGGCAGTATATGACAGTGTATCATGAAGTTGATGTGTATCCCTACACTGGAACTGAGCTAACGTCGAGGCGGGCAAGACTTCGAGAAGCTGCCAGTGGATTTCGTGGAGGAGACCATGCCAAGCCAGGAGAGCTGTTTCTTCCCGGTCCAGAAAGACCAACAAAAACTGAGACAGAAGATGAGTTGGGATCGCCAACTGAATGGGAACTAGGGAACTAGACTGAGTGGGAAAAACTGATAAATAAGGCTGATCGGCCAACACGGACTGAAGAGGAAACGGGTTTCTGGCGCGCTCGGTGGGATCCTTGCTGAGCGCGGGTGAGTGGCGTGAACATCCGATCAGCAGGAACAACAACAGGATTCTCGTCACACATGTGAAGACAGAGTTGGGATGAGTTGGGTTCCAAGTGGGCCAGGATATGGAAATACCAAGAAAGGCGGAGGAAGATGATGCTGAAAAGAATCCTGAAGGCTTGCAGGGGGAGGGTTCAACTTGGGCAACAGCAGCTGGAACTCAAGGCACACGGTATGTTTGTTTCTATAAAGTGTCAGGTACCTGTGGTCAGCACCCCTTTGCCGTCATGCTTGGATTCTGAGATAGGGTTGCAAAGCGTGGCTGAGGTTTGATTTCATGGCCTCACGATTCGGGACGCTGATTGGAACCTGTACTATAGTCATCAAAAGTCCATGCACATGCTTGCCGGGCACATGCTGGGCACGTGCCTACCGGCACATGCTTGCCGGTAGGTGAAGCGCATTTGGCCACTCCACGGAAGACCAAGCGCCCGCGCCGGGCGGCGAATTCGATCGGCACGAGACAAGACGAAAAGCTCCAATCACCAAGTTGCTAAAAGGGATCGGTCGAAAGGAGCAGCGGAGCTGCTTTTTGAAAGTGGAAGATTGGGAGGATTGTAGGCACTGTGGCCACTACCAAAAGCAATCTTATTGCTGTGCAATGGTGTATAAGTTGGTATAGTTATGTGATCTACTGAGTTCGACTCCGGTCCATCAGTAGTAGTTTGGTGATTTTTCTGAATTCGAGAGATCCTTCGAGGATGTACGCAGTTTCCGCGGGCAGATGAGCCACAGATCGCGCCGGGCACCAACTCAGAGGTCCCAGTCCAAGTTTGTTGTGGAGGATTGGCCCTTACAGAACGGAAGGGTTCTTGTATAAGGTTTCTCAGTGCACAGGATGTGTGAAATCAATACAAGTCATCCAAAATTCAGGAGTGCGCCATGCAAGATTCATTTTCGCGGTCGGCCGCTTGGTAGCCCATCACTATCACCTAGCTCCGAATTCCTGGTTCTTATCGTCGTCCTTGTCATCTCCTATGGCTTAGCAAAGGCCCAAAGTGATCATCCTAATCAGCCCAAATCTCGCCAATGTTCCTTTGCCGTGCCTCGGGCTGGTGCGGCGCCCTGGCGCCCGCGGAGATTTGCAGCAAGCTGTTGCCAAGAAGACTCTAGCTCCGCCTATGTGGACGACAGTCATGCTGTCTCACACAGGTCGGCTAGATTTATTCAACTTCCGCATCGCTAGCTGTGTCGATCCCATTCATGACCAGTCAATCAACAAGCAATAGCAAACATGCGCCTTTTTGATGAGGGCTTCCCTCCTATATATACCCAGACCGGAACAATGACAATAGCCCTTTGTAGCAGTGCTAGGGGTCAGGAAGGTTCTGACCAAAGCTCATGGAATCAAGACAGCATGTGTCCCTCATACCATTTATTTGTGGTTATTCTACATCGATAGCCCTTGCGTAGTTTGGGTAATTACCTGAAAATCTGAGACCTTCAGGGATCTTAAGAGCTGGGTTACACTTCCATTGATGAGAAGCTGGAACCCAACGATGTCAATTGGATCCTTCCTTTGGCTGATGTCCACAGGTGAGCACACTCGGCAGAACATGTCTTGCGTCATGACCACCTTTGGGAGTTGCGAGAGGGAAATGGAAAGCTCAGGTGGTGTAGGCGCAGCTCAGGGGAAGCTAACCGGATAAGAGAAAAGCAGACTCTGGTAGACACTGAACATCTGAACATCCTTGGGTGAACATTCTTCCATATGGCTCGATGTTTGTCCTTCTTTGGGCATGATGAGCTGCAGTTGGGCGACATGACCCTGTAAGGCCTGCAGAGCAGGGGGAAATCACGACTTTCAAACACCTTCAAAGGGGTCACGAATGGAAGCCCCATACACCACTTATATAGGGAACTCCATTGGACACCCCTTAGAAGGTCCAGGTATAAGAACACCATCTTTATGCAAGAATCTATCTGCGCACCTTCGGTCTTTGCAAAAAGTTTGTGTGATTTCAATTGGCCAAGCATATTGGGGAATGGGGTCTGATGGGGTAGGTATTCCTGCCAGGACCTCGGTCGTGGGAGAATGATTTGAACCCAGACTGTCAGACAGTAGTTGAACTGGGCAATGGGCCAACACGAAGTCGACAAGGCTGCCACACTCCAACTCACTGACTTGGAAACGGGTCAGTGGTGGGTTGTCTCTGATGGCGTTTTCGTCACAGGGTGACATGGCGAGTGGGAGGGCGTCGCTGCATCCCACGCATCGCTGTATCACGTTGAATTGTTGTACCGCTGTGTAACTGAAGCTTCCACATAGTGTCATAGTGAATCGAATAGATGAACCATGTAACTCGATCATTGCCTCAGTTGAAACTGTCGTGCGTGACACAAGCCACGTTTGAAGCCAGGAGCATCCAAGACATGCTGATATTTGCGCATGAGCCCACAGATGACATGAGACATGAGCACGGGAATGCCATCACATCGAGCTATAGTTCACGACTGTTGAGGAAAGGCAAGCCGATTTCCATGGACCAGAACCCCCGTTAGGTCACCATCCTCTACGCCAGCCACTCGCCCGCCACGCGCCCGCCTCCAGATGGACGCGCCCGTGTCCATGGCTGATGTGGTTGAGGTCCCCTCTTCACCCGTTGATCCGCCGCAGGAAGTCCTTGCAAGGCCTGTTTCAGGCAGGGAGGGTGGGATGTGAACTTGATGGAGAAGGAACATGATAAAATCCACAACATGGCTTTGCCCAAGAAAGACTGCCACAGACGGTGGTTGCATGTGGTTGCTATAGGAACGGTCTTTGCCAGTGGATTGCAATCCGGCTCAAACGCTCTTGATGTCACGTCTTTGGTGCACAAAAAGCCGAACCCCTCAAAGCATTGGAAAGGCTTCCAACGTATAATAGTGGGTTGAGAGTGGATGGCACAATTCCCAAAAGGTGCTTTATATATCTTTAATTATCTTTATATCAACCATTCCCAACCCATATCTAAAAGACATCTTCGGGTTTGTGCCACCTACTCTGAAACCACTGTAACATAGATACACACGTTTGCCATGAAAAAAGGATGCTCGGTGTACTTGAGCTACAGATTTCTCAGGAGGTTAGTGTGGTCTGCAGGCCAACAGTGGAGCAGAGAGAGCGCGTTGCCAGGCACAAAGGCACGAAAGAGACCAAAGGCGAAGGCCAAGGCAAAATGCAAAGCTCGGCCCAAAGCCAAAGCCAAAGCTACGAAGGCACGTGTCTGATGACTGACAGGGTTTCGCCCCTCACTAAGCCGCCCGCCCCGAGTTACGCGATGTGGGAGCAGGTGACTAAATATAAGTTCCGGAGCTGTCCTGCAGTACTTAGTGTGATTGGTCCTCCTTTCTTACGGAGACTCGGGAAATCCGCATACAATCACGCGCGTGAGTCAGTGGGTGTGGATCAAACCCAGGTACTCAAGAGAACTGTGGATGGCTGGACCACTGTCACACATCCAAAAGTCCAGGGAATTATTTTCCAGGCTTTCACGGATTCGTGAGCCATTTCTGGCCTGTCTACCACGTTTGCGATTCTGACCAACTAGTTCTATACAGGTTCATGACAAAAATCTCGTATCAGTGGCTGCTCATCCGACCGAGATTCCTTGGAAGCCCGGTTATAGGCAGGGGTTCCTTGCAGCTTCCCCAGGCTCCCCACCAGCCAGGCTGCTCAGGCCAAAGCCTCTCGCGCGAAGCCGAAGCCGAAGCCTCGCCCCAGTCGTGCGGAGCCTCGCCATGGCGCCCCTGGAGGTGGCTGCTTGGGGGCGGGTTCTTGAAGGGGAAGATCTGTGTACCTTGTGTCTCCAGCTGCAGCTCCTTGAAGCTCCGCGGACCTTGTGGATGTGCTCCACAGGATGCGATGATCCCGCATGTCTTCTCTCGGCGATGACCCGTGAACCTACTGTTTCGTGGGTGCCGGATGTCTTTGAATGTGTTTCTCTGGATTGGGCCGCCTCCCCATGTCCCATTCGTAACAGACTCAAAAATATACTTCAGCGTTCTGCAGCAAGAAGCCAATTCAATTTGTACTGGATGTAGTGGAAGTCCTGGGCGAGACGCGCAACCCAAAGTCCTTTGTGCCATCCGTGGCCGCAGGTTTCCGGAAACGGATTTCCCTGAAGGGCCGGCGTCCAAGTGCTGCGAAGCCTTCGCGGAAGACGGCTACGACTTGCACCTCTTCAAGCACCGATGCACACCGGAAAGCCAGCAGTGGAGGGACTGAAGCCACTATATACGCATCACTAGACACTCTTGAGTCAAACGGTGCGTTTCATTGAAATTGTTTGTTTGCTGACAATTTATTGTTTGTTTGCTGACAATTTAATGTTCATTGTTTGTGTTCATTACTGGGTGGCTTCCCTACAGGTCCCTGTTCTGAACAAATACTTATAGGTTTGAGATCCAAGGGTTCCATATAATACCTTGCACCTTTGCCAACACTGCTGGCATTTGCTGGTTGGTTCTCCCCTGCTTCCGGCGTTCGGTAGAGATGAGGGTGTGGCTGGATTTTGTGCGATAGAGCAGCTGCAGAATGCAGGAAGACACGTTTTCTAGGACACAACCAACCCACCTGAAGTGTTGCAAGTGGCAAAAGACTTTAAGTGTCGAAATTGCGATTCGGATTCAGTGAGGAAGTTGGCAAAATTATCATAAATTATCGATCTCAATGTTTGTTGGAATCTCAGATGTTGCAGTGACCAGGGGGGTTGGAGTGCTTGGGCCGTGCAAGCTCCGTGCATGCAGGCGACGTGAATGACTGGGAAGGCGACAGCCTGCAGGGCTCTCCGAACCCTTCGGAGGTTGAACAACTGCTGGGTAAGTCGCGCATAAGCTCAGACTTGCCACAGTGGATGCTCGGATTGAGATGAAAACGCCTGGATTGCTTGGTTGCCCATTAAACCCCGAACGTTTGCAGGGAATGTCAGGGAGTCTAGATCTAGATTCTAGATGATGGGACATATTGCTTCCCAGATCCTGTACAAAAATCTAAATGTGTTGAAGAACGCTGATTGCCTCAGCATTGTCCTTGCAATGGTTCCTCGCTTTGCATTTGCGCTAAGTGACCTAATATCAATCAGGTGACCATCCCTACAGCATGTTCTTTGTCTACGCATGTCGCACGCATGTGCATTCTGCCCAGTATTTATCCTTTTCTGGGTGGATTGGTTTCCACATTGGATTGATGTTCTTTGGTCTGAGTCTAACTGAGGGACGAAGTCGGAAGATGTCAGGCAGGAGTTCAGCGTAAGACTTCCCATGTAAGACCACAGGAGCTCAATTGCTTGAGAAAACGAGCATCGCGGACGGCCTTGGCACTCCCAGGATCTCGCGACAGCTGCATCTTGAGAAGAGCCACGTAGCGGGCGCCGTGCGGCTCTTCAACGAGGGAAGCACACTGCCCTTCATCGCACGCTACCGGAAGGAGCAGACAGGCACAGACAGGAAGATCATTGAAAAAACACATTGAAATGTTGCAACTACTATAATAGTTTCACAAGATATTGGCGAGATATCATGATCATGATGATTTGTTTCGATCATTCGAA